CCTTACCTTGCGGAGCATGGGCGCTCCAGGTTTAGGGATTCAGGAGTGGCAAGCCATGGCACTCCCGAAGCCCTAAACGCCCCTGAACCCCCCTTGGGACTGCGGGGTAGCGCTGAACATCCCCTCTCCTGGAATGCTCTTCTCCGGAACCCTTCGGAGAAAGGCAGCCTGTGGCACAAAAGCTATGAAAAAAAACATGATACGCCAAGGCCAAGACCCTATAGAGCCCTGGACCTGAAAGCCGAAGAACAAGGCCCTGCACCCGAAAGCCCCTGAACCATCTGAACCCTAAAAGCCTGTAGCCCCAAAACCCAATCCCAACCTCTGCCGCAGCGCTCATCTCAAGCAGAATTCGCCCGCGGGACGTGGGCGCGAGGCGGGTTCACGGAGGATGCGCTTAGAGCCTAGGGACCCAAACCCTAAGCCCATTGCGGCCCTAATCCACACGGAGTACCTTTCTTGCGATAAACATGGCAAAGCCTCTGGACCCTGACTGGATGTTATGCTCCGGGTCTCACCAAGAGGAATCTCACCCCTCCCCCCTCCCCAAAGCCGTACACCCCAAAAACACCCAAACCCCAAAGCTCGAAACCCCAAACCTCAACCCCAAGACCGCCACAAGCCCAAAAACGCCCTAAGCCCATCCTTAAAGGTTTAGGGTTTAGGGTTTAGGGTTTAGGGTTTAGGGTTTAGGGTTTCGGGTTTAGGGAGACCGCCCTTCAGGGACCGGAGATGCCGGCACGCCCCCGGGATGGCCGGCGGCGACCGGGCTCCCGCGCCAGGGCGTTTGTGTGGCTTTGGGGTTGTGATTTTTGTTAAAGGGTGTAGGGTTTAGGGCCTAAAGTTTAGGGTTTGGTTGTTTTTTGTTTTCTTTTTCTGGGGGGATGTTCTAGGGGCTGTTGGGGTTTAGGGGCCCTAACCCGGAAGCAGACTTTTTTTTCCAGCATTCTCCCCCGACCCCAAAGCAAGCACCTTCTGTAAGGGCCCTGAGGTATAAAGAAAGTCTCTACAATTCACACGGGGTCCTAGACAGGTAACAGCACACCATCACCCCAAAAAGGCTGCATAAAGGTGCGGCCATGAACTCGAAGACGTCCCAGCACGCGCAGGACTGCGCTCAGAGAGGGTTCCGGTACTCCCTAACCCTAAACCCTACAAACCCAAAATGAACTAAGCTCCCAAACGCCATCCTAGAACCTAGCCGGCTTTAGGGTTTTAGGTTATCTAGGGTTTAGGGTTTAGGGGTTGACGGTTTGGGGGTGCTGTCCCCAGGCATGCGCCAGGCCACTGCGGAAGTGGCGCGTGCTGGGAGCTGGCTGGAGGCAGCTGCCCTTCTCCACCCGCTCCCCCTCCCCCCCTTTTTAGGGTTTGGGGTTTAGGGTTTACGGTTTAGGGTTTAAGGTTAGGGTTTAGGGTTTAGGGTTTAGGGTTTAGGGTTTAGGGTTTAGGGTTTAGGGTTTAGGGTTTAGGGTTTAGGGTTTAGGGTTTAGGGTTTAGGGTGGGGTGTAGGGGTTTAGGGTTTAGGGGCTGGAGTAGCACGGACTTCGCACTAAGACCAGCTGTTACCTTGTGTTGGCATAAAGCCTCCATGTCGTGTGTGAGCCAGGGAAATTCACAGGGGTTTATGGATTTAGGGCTCTGGGCTGTGGGTTTTTTCTGGTTCTGTGACAACGTCCTGCGCCAGGCAACCGCGCTGTTTGCACGCCTTTGCTCGCTGGGGCTCCTCCCGAATGCGCCACGGATTGAGCCTGTCGTCATAAAACCCTAAACCCCGAACCCTAAGAAGACCCGGCTGTCCCCAACTCCTACTCCTACCGAGCAGCCAGCCGCATCCGGTTGTCATGAGAAAGATCCTCTTTACAACGCTGGCAAGCGAATGCAAACAAAAAAAAGAGCAATCGCACGGCAGGGAGCAGCCCAGAATGGGATCATCCTACAGCCGCGTTACCTACAACCCTACAAGCACCAGACCCCTCAACCCTTGTTCCCCAAAACCCGTAAACTCTCCCCAAGCCCTAAGCCCTAAGCCCTAAACCCTAAACACCCAAAGCTCCTAGGTTTAAGGTTTAGGGTTTAGGGTTTAGGGTTTAAGGTTTAGGGTTTAGGGCTGAAGCTAGGTGATCACTTGGTCCGCGCTCTTGGCTGCAGATGTGCGGGGTCTCGCTTGGCGGAAGTCGCTGGCAGGCCACTGTGCTTTCGCACCTTCAAGGTAGATAACCTTTAACTTTTTTGGGTTAATATATTCACCTCATAATCCCAAAGGTTAACCTTTAAAACCCCTAGGTACTGGACAACTAAGTTTACCTTATCTCCCAGTGACCAGAACCCAAACCAGATGGCTGGTATTTTGTTTTGTTTTTTTGTTGCCGTTTACCTTGGTTTTTTCCAAGCCCTAAACGCATCCTAAACCCCCAAACGTTGCGCCGTGGGCTTCGTCCCTCAAGCCCTCAACCTCTTAAACCCTCAAACCCTAAACCAAGGTCCTTTATCGAGTTTGTGGGTTTAGGGTGTTTAGGTTTTTTTTTGGTTCTTAATAGTGGGCTTCCAGGGGTTTCAGTGTTAAAGTGGTTAGGCTTTTGTGATTTTCGGGCTTTTGGATGGAAGGTGTCCAGAGCATGGAGATGGCCAGCTGCCTGGCAACCAAAACAGGCTTCACTTGCCCCCCCCCCCAACCCCCCAACCCCCCCCCCCCCCCCCAACGCCCCCCCCCCAACCCCCAACCCCGCCCCCCCACCCCGCCCCCCCACCCCCCCCCCCCCAACCTCCCGCATGCACAAAGGTTCACTCTCCGGATGTATTCCGTCATCCCCCCAAACCCCCCCACCCCCCCAACCCCCCCAACAACCCCCCCCCCAAACCCCCCCAAACCCCCCCCAACCCCCCAAACCCCCCCCAAACCCCCCAACCCCCCAAACCCCCCAAACCCCCCCAAACCCCCCAAACCCCCCCACCCCCCCCCACCCCCCCAAACCCCCCCACACCCCCCCAACACCCCCCCAACCCCCCCAAACCCCCCCAAACCCCCCCCAACCCCCCCAAACCCCCCAAACCCCCCCCAAACCCCCCCAAACCCCCCCAAACCCCCCAAACCCCCCAAACCCCCCAAACCCCCCCACCCCCCCAAACCCCCCCAAACCCCCCCAAACCCCCCCAAACTCCCCCCAACCCCCCCAAACCCCCCCAAACCCCCCAAACCCCCCCAACCCCCCCAAACCCCCCCAAACCCCCCAAAACCCCCCAAACCCCCCAAACCCCAAAACCCCCCCCCCCCCCCCCCCCCCCCCCCCCCCCCCCCCCCCCCCCCCCCCCCCACCAAACTCCCAGCGGGGTATCGTCCGTGGTTATGGAGAAGACAGCTGCGCGTGTTTTGTGACCTGAGTGGCCCCTCATTTAGGGCAGAGCTTTCCCGGATAAATGACGTCAAGCAAAGAGGGGGGGGGGCAATACTCTGGGAACATCGCGTAGGGTTTGCTCGGAGTTTTGTTCATCACACCGTGGAGCTCCAGATGCTGGGTTTGTAGACAGCCGTGGAGGGTGCCTCGTGGCCTTGTGGGGGAATCAGCGATTAAACAGCATGGACGTCACCTCGGAGGTCAAGCTCCGAATTCTGAACCCTCTTTCTTTACCCTTTTTTTCATGGGGTTCTTAAGGGAGGGGTGTTCAACGGGGGGAAGGTAACCCAAGACTCCCTAAAGCTTCCCTAAAATTCCCTAGGTACCTACCTCCCCTTGAACCACCCCCTCCCCTTAAGAAACCCTTGAGTCTCTGCTCGGTTTTTTGCAGAAGGCCCACCACCACCCAAGGCATCGCCTGTGACATCATCGCCACCAACGTCGTCCTCTCTGGGCTTCCGGGCCAGTGGCTGGCATCTCTAGAGCTCCTACGCTGCCTGCCGCGCGCCCGGCGCCTCTCCTGGGACTTGTGGGGGGTTTAGGGTTTCATGCAGGGTTCAGGGTTTCGGGTTTAGGGTTTAGGAGCTTAAGGGTTTTGGGGTCTAGGAGCTTCAAGGTTTGGGGTTTCGGAGCTTAAGGGTTTAGGGTTTAGGAGCTTCAGGGTCCAGGGTCTGGGAGCTTCGAGGGTTGCGGGCCTTAAGGGCTTGAGGGTTAAGGGTTTGCGGGCTCGGGGGGTTCTAGTCTCTGTCGAGGCCGTTGCTTATCATGGAGGCCTGCGGGGTGGCATCGGGAGGTTTTATAGTGCCCGGATGCAAAAAGGGACCGGCTATTCCCGAGGGAGGCCCTTGGCCCTCCATCAAGCCCAGCCTTAAACCCTAAACCCCAAACCCCAAACCCCAAACCCTAAACCCTATACCCTGTAAACCCTAAGCCCTAAGCTAAACCCCAAACCCTAAACCCTAAACCCTAAACCCTATAAACCCTATAAACCCTATAAACCCTATAAACCCTATAAACCCTATAAACCCTAAAACCCTAAAACCCTAAACCCTAAACCCCCCAAAAAACCCGCATCCCAGGCTACAGCCGACCTCTGCCACTTTCTCCTCGGCCATTGCTGCGGCGCCGCCCTGGGAGCGAGGGTTTCGCGGCCAGTGTTGGTTAGGGTAACTAGGGCAAGTAGGGCAATTAGGGCAATGAGGGCAATTAGGGTTTAGGGTTTAGGGTTATTTAGAGCTTAGGGTTCAGGGGATTTTTCGGGTTTAGGGTTTATAGGGTTTAGAGTTTCCGAGGTTTAGGGTTTAGGGTTTGGGGGTTTAGGGTTTAGGGTTTAGTGTTTGGGTTTAGCGTCGTCGGAAAACATTAGGGAAGCTCAGGAATACAAGGAATAGATCGGTTGTGGGGCTACAACTTCTGTTGTACCTTCAGGCTTCAAGGCAAGCCCATTCCTCCACTCCGACGCCATCTCATTTCAGGGCAGCCTTGCTCCCTAGGCCTATTTCTCCCCAACATTCCATCGTAAACCTGTCAGAAGCCCAAATAGACATTTTTCTACGTCGGGGGGGGGGGGGTTGCGGCAACCCGAGGCTACGCCACCTCGATGCCGCAATGCTTTCAAATCAGGCAGGGCGCGGCACCCCCTGTGGACTGTTCAGTTTTCTGTGCGATTTAGGGTTTAGGGTTTAAGTTTAGGGTTTAGGAGCTCTTGAAAGATTGAGGAATTTCCGACTCCCTGCCCTGCGGTCGAGCCCCTCATTTCAGGGCCGAAGCGCCTGAGCCCCTTCTTGGAGGTCTGGGGCCTTTTGAGTTCACAACTCCCTTGTTTTCATCGACTTCCAAAAGCCCGAAGCCCCAGTCCTTTCCAAACCTCCCAGTTGACCAGGGCAACCTCATCGTGGCCAACGCTGCCCTGACAGCCTGCGAGCGTCAGATGCGGCCTCCTGGGCATGTTTGGGGCGGGGGGGGGGGTGTTAACGTCCTCAGAACTCAGACCCTCAAGCCCTCTAAATACACAAAGTGGCAAGCCCAGACACCCATGACCCCACAGAGCAAGGAGGCTTCACGCGAAACCCTAAACCCGAAACCCTAAACCCTCGTAACCCATAGGAACCCTAGTAACCTTCGTAGACCAGTGGTACCCTTTAACCATTTTCCCCACCGTTCGATTTTGAGGACAAAGCGGCGGCGCACAAAAACCCTAAGCCGTCATGTGAAGTTGAAGGGGCTAGTCCCCTGTCTTGAAGGGGCCTTTCACACGGAGCTATCCGAGTGATGCCCCAAGAAGCAACCCTCCCGTAGAGTTAGGATATTTTTGCTGCCCGCATAGCTGGCTGGAGGTCACGCAGCAAGGTGGCAGAGGTTTCATAGGTTAGGTAGTTTAGGGTAACAAACCCCAGCTTCTGAAAGGGACGTAGGTTCGCGGTTTCGGGCTTTTAGAGAGGGGGCTTGGATTCAAGGGTCAGGGTGGGGATGCTCGAAGTGGTGATTTTTTGTTATGGGTTCCCTTATGAAGTAGCCAGCCCAAAAAAGAGTGCCCTTATCATGATTACTGGGCTACTAGGTAACCCAAACAACCCGAATAACCCTGAAAGCCCCTATAACCCTAAACCCCTACCTCTGGCAGAGGTGGCAGCAAACCTTTGAGCTCTGGCAGGGCATTGCTGGGCTCGCCCTGCAGCCCGATGTCGTCTCTTGGCACGAACGGTGTATGGTTTAGGGTGTAGGCTTCAGGGTTGTGGGTAGAAGATGGGATTCCAGCTCTTCGCAGAAGGTTTGGGGGTGCGGGCCGGCGGTTTGGTGTTTCGATTTAGGGCTTCTTGACTCAGAAGGTAAGCATATCTTTACATCATGCCCTCAGCCATGGAAGCGCCCCCTCCCCCCACGGGCCAACACCTCCAAGACTGCAACACCATGGTGATTCCCCTTAAAGTGCCCCCCAAAACGAGTATCCCGATTTGCGGAAACCCCCCACGTAACAAAGCCCTGCGCACGAAAGGTGTCCATCTCGGCTGCCCTCACAGCGTGCAGTACGGCCACGAGGCCTCGAGGGCCCAGCAAACCCTAAACCTTAAACCCCCCTAAGCCCTAAACCCCTAAACCCCTAAACCCCTGAACCCCTAAGCCCTTGACCCGAGCTTGTGCGTTAAATACCCTACACCCTAATTGGCCCAAGCTGCGCCCAACCTGCCCTACATGGCCTTTGCTGCCTTAAATGCGCCCTGAGCCCACAGCCTGCCTCTGCCAACCACCCGGGAGGTGGGAAAAGGCACTGGCGCTCTTTGCCGCTTCGCGGCATGGGGGTTTGGGCTTCCGGGCCTCGGGTCTTCAGGTCTTCAGGGCTTTTAGGAATGTAGGGTTTGGGGGTTTAGGGTTTTGGGGTTTAGGTTTAGGGTTTTAGGGTTCTAGGGTTTTAGGGTTTTAGGGTTTTAGGGTGGGGGATTTAGGGGCTCAAGGGGCTTAGCGGGTGTTGCCTGGCTTGATAAGGCTTCTAGGGAGGTTTCTTGGTGTTACAGATAGACGGGTTTATTGGGGCTTAAGGTTCAGGTTGAGCGTTCGGATTTAGGGCTGCTTGCTCTGAAGTTCAGGCTTCGTGGTGGGGAAATGTGGTACCAAACCCTGAAGCTGAATCCATAAGGCCCGTACTCAGAACGCGCAGCCTTGAGCAAAACACCAACAAGCCCCAAAAACCTACTCCACATAGACCCTAAACCTCAAGCTCGAAACACCCCTTACAATGAGCGCCCAGACATATCCATTCTGGCTTTGGACAGTATGCCGCAGGCCACCATGCCAAGAATACGCCTCGACCGGGATTTGGTGGCGTACTCTTCTGCCAGCTGGCGCGCAGAGAGAGGGTCGGCTCCTGTAAGCCCAAAGCTCCCAGGCGCGCCGATAAAAAACGCCCCAACCCCTGAGCCCTACACACACCCAAGGAGGCCAGCGCTCCTCTCAGGTCAACTTTGGGGCTGTTGGGCTTTGTAGGGTTTGACGCCCCGGTAGAATGCCCTTGAACCCTTCACCTCTTGGTTTTGAGAGCCACTTCAGAGACCTTGCGACCTCAATCCCAGATTTTCCGAAGAGGCCTGTTTGGAGGCCCGTGAATCACACCCAAGACCGCCGTGAACCCTTAACACCCCTAAAATCCTAAACCCCTGCACCCAAAACCCCCAAAAATCCTACCCACAAGGGCCCCAAGCGCTGAAAACTCTAATTCTCCTAATCCCCTCTCAGGCGATGGCGGCCCTCGACCGCTGTGGTCTCTGGGAAGCAGCTCTGGCGTTCCTCGCAGACCCTCCGTCTCTCACTGGGCCTGTCGGGGTTTAGGGAGGGTAGGGTTTGTAGGGTTTGGGAGGGCTTAGGGTTTGTAATTTGTTGGCAGGAGGTTGGAGAAGTAGCCGAAGTACGTTCTGAGTGGGAATATGTTTTTCAGAGGGCTTTTCTCGGACCAACCGAGGAGCTGGACGAGCAAACAACGGTCCCAGATGTCGTCTGCTTCGGCGCGGCCGTGAGCGCGTGCGAGAAGGTGCCAGCAAGGATTAGTTTTATTCCTTTTGGGGAAGGGCGCGGGGGGTTGTAGGGTTGAGGGCTCAAGCGCGTAAACCTTGAAACCCTGAAGCCCTAAAACCCTGAAACCCTGAAACCCTGAAACTCTGAAGCCTAAAGCCTCAGAACCCACACCTCCCCCCCCCACCAAATCGCAAAGTAGGCCGCGCGCTGGCAAGAAGCCCTGGCGCTCATCGACGACATGCACCATCGGCTGCTGCCCCTTGGGGCCGTTTTAGGGAGTTTAGGGAGTTTGGGGCTCATGGGTTAGGGGCCCTAAGCCCTAAACCCTAAGCCCTAAACCCTAAACCCTAAACCCTAATTCAACCCTAAACCCTGAACCATAAAAATTAGGGTTTAGGGTTTCGGCCTTTTGGACTTCGGGGTTCTGGGGTTTCAGGGTTTGAGGGTCTTTTTTTCTCCTCTTGGCTCGAATTCTGTGACTTTATTGGGCCCCGGAAATAAATAGGGCTCGCAGCTGCAGGCGGGCTAACCTGGTCATCTACAATGCCGCCATCTCGCTGTGGGCGGAGGGTCTCAGTCTGCTTCGCCATCTGCGCGGCCCAGCTTCTTTAAACCCTAAACCTCAAACCTCAAACCCTAAACCCTAAACCCTAAACCCTAAACCCTAAACCCTAGACCCTAAACCCTAAACCCTAAACCCTAAACCCTAAACCCTAAACCCTAAACCCTAAACCCTAAACCCTAAACCTCAAACCCTAAACCCTAAACCCTAAACCCTAAAAACCCCAAGCCCCAAACCCTAAACCCTAAACCCGAAACCCTTGGTTAGGACGGCCAGGACCTCGAGTAATCAGCAAGGGCGCAGGGTTCATCGAGGTGCTGGGGTAGGCTTGCCTTAAACACACCCTAAAACCTAAAACCCTAAACCCTAAACCCGAGAGGGTTGAGGAGTCTGGAAAAACTTAGCCAGAAAGTTGGAGTTGTGGCCTCCTGAAAGTTAGGGCTTCTTTGGGAGTCCAAGAATCCGAATAGAACAGGGGAGGCCTTTAATGTCTAGAACCTTAAACCTTCTCATGCCTCCGAAACCTGGGACCCTAAGCCCTAAACCTTAGACCCTGGACCCTAAACCCTGAGCCCTCGTACAAGGCCGGGCCCTGCTCCTCCCAGATGTCATCTCGCAATCTGCGGCGCTCTCGGCGTGCGAGAAGGCCGGCTTTAGGGTTTAGGCTTTTTCGGGTTTTAGGGCAGGCAGCGATACAAATTAATTAACCGGTACCACGATAGTTACTTGTAGATCTAGTTCCCTCTTCATATATATATATATATATATGAGCCGCCTCAAGCTTTCAGCCTCAACCCCTCATCAGGCCCCCTTCCCCCCGCACGACAAGTCTTCCTGCGCGAGGCGATTCAGTGGAAGAGGGGGCTCTCTCTTCTGGCGTCTTTTCCCAGAGCCCAGCTGTTCTTGGGCTGGCAGAGAGCTTGTTGAGCTTGGAAAGCCCGTCGGAGGGTTTCGGGTTTGGTGTGTATTTGCCCCCACACCAGACGATGGACCACGCGGCGACGCTGTCCTCAATTTAAGGGCTGGGGTAGCCAGCACATCCCCCATAGTTTTTGAGCAAAAGGTGTTCTCTTCTTTGCTCAGTCCCCGATACTGTCAGCCTTCCACGAGGCTCCCCAACATCGTGAGCTTCTCCGCGGCCATCAGTACCTGCGAAAAACAGGCCCGGCCAGCACCTAGACCCCTAAGCCCCGTAGTCTGAAGCCTTTGAGCCCTGAAGCCCCAAAGCCCCTGATCTTTCATCTTTTGGGGTAGTTTTTTTTTTTTCCTTTTTGTTGGGGGGTTGGGGGGGGTGACAACCCTAAATCCATGCGCCCTTCGCATGGTCCCGTACCTCACCCTTGTTTATAGGGACCCGAAGTTTGGGCCCTGATGTATGGCGTGTGTAAGCGTTTTTTTAAGAAGGGACCCCCAACAAAGAACCAGAAAAAGCCCGCAGCCCTGCCCGAAACCCCAAACCCCCAAACCCCCCAAACCCCCCAAACCCCCAAACCCCCCCCCAAACCCCCCCAAACCCCACCCAAACCCCCAACCCCCAGACCCCCAAACCCCCAACCACCCCCCAAACCCCCCAACCCCCCCCAAACCCCCAAACCCAAACCCCCAAACACCCCCAACCCCCAAGCCCCCAACCCCCCCAACCCCCCAGCCCCCCAAACCCCCAACCCCCAACCCCCAACCCCCCACGCCCAAACCCCCAACCCCCCAACCCCCCACCCCCAAACCCCCAAACCCCCAAACCCCCAAACCCCAAAACCCCAAACCCTAAACCCTAAACGGGCAGGGGAAGTGGCGCATCGCCCTCAGTTTGCAACTGGCCTGCATCATCTGGCCTTTCTGGGGCCCCTGAAACCCTCAGAATCCCCCTGAACTGTTGCCTCTGCTGCATCATTCAGGGTTTAGGGTTTAGGGTTTAGAGTTTAGAGTTGAGGGTTTAGGGTGTAGGGTCTCAAAGTCTCGTGGAGCTCCCCGCAAGCCCCATCCTATTCCGAAACCACAACCCCTGGTCCTAACCCTAAACCCTAAATTCAAAAAGCCCAAGCCTCCAGGAAAGACTTTCTCCAGCGGAGAAGCACGGAACCCAACGCAGCTCGCCTGAGCGCGTGAAGTCATCAAGGATTTATCGGGTTTGCGGCCTGACCCGCCCGAAGGTTTGCTTGAAGCATAGGAAAAGGACGGTGTATACGGTGTAATTGAGTCCCAAGCTATTTTCTCCAAAATCTTACTTTCCGGTTTTCTCCCCTGGAATAGGCCTTCTAGGGTCTGAGAGTAGTCTGCTGACTTTTTTGGCGGCAGGGTTGAAAGGGTTAGTGCTCAGGGGACTTGTGGGGAGTCAAACACAGTTGCGGGGTCCAGCACGTGGGTTCAGGGTTAGGGTGGGGACTCTGGGATTAGGGTCCTGAGGGGCTGTCCCTAAACCCTTTAAACTTAGGGACTCAGGGGCGCGCCAAAAGCCACACAAACATAAGGATCCTACTATTGGGGTAAACGGGCCGGATGCGGGGAAACCATGTTTGTAGAAGCCGGTCCTTACATTTATGTGGTGTTTTGGGCCCCGGAAACCCTTTAAAATCCGAAGAGATGCACATGCCAGTCTCTATTTCGCATGCATGCCCTTGCTAACGCAAACCTCACGTTATGTCACGCGGCCGCGCCAAACCCCAGAACCCTAATTTCATCATGTTACATTGCGATATACGCTTATCTATATATATATATACACACACATATGCAGAACCCATGCTTGAGGCAAGACATCTCGAGTTTGTCTGGGTTTGTAGGCTTTCGGCTTTTCAGGGGGTTATCGGGTCGTTTAGGGTTTAGGGTTTAGGGTTTAGGGTTTAGGGTTTAGGGTTTAGGGTTTAGGGTTTAGGGTTTAGGGTTTAGGGTTTAGGGTTTAGGGTTCAGGGTTTAGGGTTCAGGGTTTAGGAGCTTGGGGTCATGTAGGGTCATTCCTGCCTTCACCATGGTAGCAAAGGTAGGCGCTGCAGGGGTTGCGGCTCAGGTGGTGAGGCAGCTGTGGGACCCAGATAAGAGCCTGGACCCCAAGCCTTTCATGAGCTTAAACCCTAAAAACCCTAAGAACCCCAAAAACCCTGAAATCCCCTACACCCTATAAGCCCCCCCAGAATATTCTTACAAAAAGGGCCTCTTAAAAGACTGAATCCTCGCGGAATGGTGCGCGTCTCCAACGTGTCTGGGCAAGTGCTCCTGGTGCAGCCGCTTTTGGAGCTGACCGAGGTGCGGTCTCTGAAGAAGCGGCTGCAGCCCATCTGTGGGGTGACTAGCTTGGCTTTTGGTACATGTTATAGTTTCCTTATTGGAAAATTCACGCAAGTTTCCTTATTTGGGGTTTTTCAAAGGGACCCTACATATATAATTGTGTTTCGAAGGGTTTCACGGCCAACCCAGGTGAGTCGATTCAGACAGCGGCTACTTTCCGAGCGTGGGATCCTCAAGGACTCGGACGGTCTGATTGACGACCAGTATCATGCAGCTAGGTAGGCCCTTCTGGGATACTTTTTCTTTTTTTAGTCTTGTCCCTTGTTTAGGGGTTATGGGATGTTTTTGTTAGTATTTTCCCTTCTTTAGTGGGTTAAAAGAGGATCTAATCTTGAGGAATATGTTTCAGAGGGGTTTATTTTATGGGCCAGATCCGAGGCAGACTTGCAGCTGGTGTTGCTTCCGTTTGCCACGGCATCCGCGGTGCAGACCCGGGACTTCTCCCTGGCCATTGAGACTATATATCCCCCTTGGGAACTATTTCTTAGTTTTTGTCTAGATACATCCCCAAAAGAGGATGTATGACAAATAGTATCTGGGTTGAGGGTTTAGGGTTTACGGTTTACGGTTTAGGGTTTAGGGTTTAGGGTTTAGGGTTGAGTAGAGGAGACCGGTGCCACAGTGCGGGTCGAAGAGATGCTCAGCATCCCCTTGGACCCGGCCATGCCAACAGCACCGATCCTCCTGGCCGTCGAGAGGAACCGTATCTGGGACCCGGAGAGGAGGCCCAAATTTGTGTTTTGCGTTGTTTTTTTTTTTTTTTTTTTTTTGGGGGGGGGGGGGGGGGGGGGGTTGGGCTTCCCTTAACATTCCCCTTAGAGCCCAGAAAGGGTATATGCCCTTTTTTTTTGTTCCTAGGTTGCTCCTGAAGTCTAGGTATCGACATCGTGCGCATGCTCTGTGAAGCCATGGCGGATGTGGACGAGGGATCCAGGGTGGGGGCGCCCCTGATGTCGGCATCTCGAAGTGGTTATGTGGAGATCATCCGCATACTCCTTGAAGCCCGGGCTGACATAGGGACCCAGCACAATGGAGAGACACCCCTCCTTGCCAGTGCCGTCAGGGGGAGTGCGGAGGCCGTCCGCCTGTTGTTGGAAGCGAAGGCAGATATTCGGTCCACACCTGCTGCTCGAGCTGCTGCTTAAGGGCGGGGAGGAGGGGGTGTGGTGAGGAGTTCGTGGGCCCCTAGAAGTCTAGTCACCCAGTCCCCTCCCTTATAGTTCCTGCCGCTGATATTACAGACTATGGCACTCTTCGCCAACTCCGCCTTGGAGCACCTGTAAGGTTGGCGCGCTGTACGTCGCCGTGGACCGGAACTACGTGGACGTGGTCCGGCTTTTGCTGGCTGCTGGCGCCCAAGCAAGCTTCAGCTCCTTTGTGGGATCGCCTCTGCATATGGTGATCGCGAGGGGCAATCGGCAGATGGTTCAACTACTGCTTGCAGCTAGGACGAACACCGAAGACACCACGTCCCTGTTGGGTATTTTTTGGTAAGGTCCGTTGCATCCCCGGCAACCACTCATACAAAAGCCGCGAAAGAAGCGCAAACCCTAAGAAAGACCCTCAACTCCTGGACCCGTGAACCCGAACCTAAACCCAGGACACGCATTTGGGACAGACTCCTCTGCACATAGCTGCCAAGCGCGGCTTTGTTGCCGGTCTGCATTTGAATTGTTCGTCGGGCGTCGAGGGTTTAGGTTTAGAAAGCGATGTGACCGTGAAGAAGTTCTTAATCCCTAAACTCCCCTAAGCCCTAAAACCCTCAAACCCCTAAGCCCCTCAACCCCCAAACCCCTAAACCCCCCAAACCCCTAAACCCCCAAGCCCCTAAGCCCCTAAGACCCTCTAACCCCTAAAGCCCTTAAACCCCCAAACCCCCAAACCCCCCCCCCCCCCCCCCCCTGAACCCCGGAGCCGGTTCAAAGAAGGGGCACAGTCGAGGTTGACATCGTGCACCTTCTCCTCAGTGCGGGCGCCGACAGAGACTGCTGCTACTTCGACGGGCCTCTTGGACTTCGGCGGTTTAAGGGCTTTAAGAGCTTTTAAGGGCTTTAAGGGCTTTAAGGGCTTTGAGGGCTTTAAGGGCTTCTTAAGGGCTTTTAAGGGCTTTAAGGGCTTTGAGGGCTTTAAGGGCTTTAAGGGCTTTAAGGGGCTTTAGGATGCTTTAGAGAGCCTTTGAGGCTTTATGGGTTTTCGATCTGCAAAGGCACCTTTGCAAATCGTTGCTACGATCCTTCTTCCTAAACACCCCCAGAACCCCCAAACACCCCAAGAGCCCCTTAAAACTGAAGAACCCAAAGAAATCCTCGCTGGAGAGCCCCAAAACCCAAAACCAAAAAACCAAAACCCAAAACCCCAAAACCCCAAAAACCAAAACCCAAAACCCCAAAAACCAAAACCCAAAACCCCAAAACCCCAAAACCCAAAACCCAAATCCCCTCGAGAAACCATGAGAACCCCGAACCCTGCGCTTCAAGGTATCAGCACTTGTCTCCCCTTCAGCTCGCGCTGAGGGACGACCGGGATGCCGTGGCGTCCCTGCTCTTGGAAAGCTCGAGAGCTTGAGCCTGTGACGGCTCTGGGGTTTAGGGTTTAGGGTTTAGGGTTTAGGGTTTAGGGTTTAGGGGTTTAGGGCTCTCGGGTTCTGGGGTTCTGATAGGGGTTGAGGGTATGAGGGCTGTATGGCTAACATGAGCTTCTTTGGGGGGTATGAGGGCTGCATGGCTAACGTGCGGTTCTTAGGGGTTTTAGGGTTAGGGGCTGTATGGCTAACATGCGGTTCTTAGGGGGTTTAGGGTTAAGGGCTGTATATGGCTGATGTGGTTTAGGGGGGGTTTGGAGGTTCCAGGGTAAAGAGGTCCAGGGTTGATCGTGATCAGGGCCTTAAGGCCTTAGGTTACTGCAGACGCCCAGGAAGGTTGAACATATAGGGTTGCCAATTTAGGGGGTTGAGGTTTAGGGTTTTTAGGGGTTAGGGTTTGGTTTTTGGGGTTTAGGGTTTAGGGTTTAGGGTTTAGGGTTTAGGGTTTAGGGTTTAGGGTTTAGGGTTTAGGATTTAGGGTTTAGGGTTTAGGGTTTAGGGGTTAGGGTCTCGTCGCCTCGACGTGGCAGACCGTCTTAGAGTTTTGTGTGGGCAGCGCGAGGTGTGCTGGAAAAGAGCGCAGGTTGAACTTGGACAGGGCTTCTGGCCCTAAACCCTAAACCCTAAACCCTAAACCCTAAACCCTCAACCTTTGGGTTTAGGGCTTGGAAATAAGGGGGGTTGAGGTGGCTTCGGGATCTCACTAGGTTCCCAAACTCCTCCGCCCTGGCCCTAAAACCTGCCCTTTGTGTGCCCAAGGCCCTAAGCAGAACCCTAAACCCTAAACTAACATCCCCCACCCGGACGTGCGCACTGAGGCCATCAGCTACAATGCAGCCATCAGTGCATGCGAAAAGGCTTCCCCGACTACCCTTTACTGCGAGGGTTTTGGGGTCAAGGGTTTCCGTCGTGGAGTGTTAGGGTTTCGCATTGTAGGGCTTCGGGGATTGGGTTTCAGAGAGCTTTTTGGGAACCCCAAAGCGGGGTGATTTCGGCATAGCGCGAGGGGATCTGCCAGAAGTCCAAAAATAGGACTGAGAGTAGGCCCTCAATCCCTTTCTATTGGGTTTAGGTTCCCTTATACAGCCCCTTTAAGCCAAAAAGGGTACCCTTTTCATTCCTAGAACTCTTGGGTCTAGAAAACAACAACTCGCCGTGGATGCCATCTTGGTTTAGGGCTTGGGGGGGGGGAGTCCTCAAAGGCTTCCTTCCGAGCCTCAGGCCTCAACCCTAAACCCTACGTACTATAGGGATCGGAACAACTACTAGTAGTATTCCCTTAAGGCCCCTTTATAAGCACAGTATAGTAACCCCCAAAAACTCTATTCTAATTATTAAGGCCCCTATATTACACCCTAGACAGCTTGGAGTTTTGGTGGCATCTCTTCTGATTCTTCTTCGAAGCCCCAGCAAAATCCCCCGCGAAGGAACCCAAACCTAAACCCTCAAAGACACCAACCCTTCAGAATAAACACGAGTACATGGATCCCCCGCCTGAGCCTTTTTGTAAGGACCTCTACAGCATCTCTTCATTCGTCCTGAGTTCTTGATTGTTTCTGTTGCGGCGCCCCTTCCCCCACCCCCCCCCCCCTTGTCCCCCCCTTCTTATAGCCTCGGGCTTTTTGTCTGTGCCCATGCATTCTGGTCAGGCTTAGTGTTTAGAGGACCTCCGGATGTGTTCGCGGCATGTGAACCTATAAACCCCAGGGTAAAAGCCGCTAGGCAGGCCAGGGGCCCGCGAATCTAGGCTTTCGGGCTTTCAGCCCCACGCTCAACGGGAAGCTAAAGGAGTTGGCTCTGCATGTCCAAGGAGAGGCTTCATTCAATACCTTGGGCCGAGGTATCCGATCATGTTTGGTAGGGCTCCTTTCAGCGAGTCTGCTATCATGTCGGGGCTGGAAAGAAACCCTGCTTTTCGGAATGTCCCAGCTCATTTGCCCATGGTTCTGGAACGATCTAATTCCATGCTCGACGTCTTAAGGCCGTTTAGGGCAGAGCTGTCAGACTTGCTCCAGGACCGAGGCCCTGGCCGTTCCCGCTGCGTAAAAGTGACCCACTTTGATCCTACCCTTGGCACGGGTTGCTCTTCCCCTGGTCCGGCATCGCCTAAGCCCCACAGGGCTTGTAAATCATCCACGAGCGCAGGCTTCTGGAGGATCTGGGGGCCGCAAAGAGGATTTTGCAAGCAACTGTAGACGCATGAAAAACCATGAGCGCAATAGTGACCTTCGCAGACCTGTGGTTAGGTGTTTGAAGCAGCAAACGAGATGGTGGTAGTTGTGGTAGCAGTAGTAGTAGTAGTAGTAGTAGTAGTAGTAGTAGTAGTAGTAGTAGTAGTAGTAGTAGTAGTAGTAGTAGTAGTAGTAGTAGTAGTAGTAGTAGTGGTAGTAGTAGTAGTAGTAGTAGTAGTAGCAGTAGTGGTAGTACTTCTGCTATTACTACAACAACAACAACTACTACTACTACTACTGCTACTACTACTACTACTACTACAACTACTACTACTACTACTACTACTACTACTACTACTACTACTACTACTACTACTACTAATACTACTGCCACTACCACTACCACTACCACTACCACTACCACTACTACTACTACTACTACTACTACTACTACTACTACTACTACTACTACTACTACTACTACTACTACTACTACTACTACTACTACTACTACTACTACTTCTATTACTACTACTATTTCTACTACTACTACTACTACTACTACTACTAC